AATGTTTCAGATCAGATGGGTTTGGGGAAAAACTTGTATCTACATAGATTGACCAAGTTATGCCAAACTTGTCTCTTATCAAGAAATGTCACAGCCGTGAGCGAATTAGACTTCCAAATTCAGTATACAATGAGCACAGCTGGTTCTATATCTAGTCGATAGACCCACATGTTTGTCAAGACATGGCACATTCTAGTAATGCTGATTACAACTTAAGACCCGCTCAGATTCAGATAGTGCATTTACCATAGGTTTCTATGGCACAGATATCATGCCATATTTCAAATTGTAGGCTGGCGACATTAATTATATATTTCGAATGACTGGGTCCTTTTTGTTTGTCTGGGTTTTTAAAATTTTTAAATAATGCATTTTTTCTTTAACATTGTGCTCTATAGAATTGTTCTAAAAATAGAGATTTATGGAAAATATTAGGACAACAATTTGTTGGTTGTTTATTAAAACATTTCATCCCATTTCTTGTTTTTGAATATCATGGATTTCACACTATAAATAGCAAGTGCCAAACTACTACTATGGCAATTTTGCCGCATCAACCAACAAGACAATGCCTCACCATTGTAATTGTGTTGCTGCATCAACCAGCAAGACAATGCCTCACCATTGTAATTGTGTTGCTGCATCAACCAGCAAGACAATGCCTCACCATTGTAATTGTGTTGCTGCATCAACCAACAAGACAATGCCTCACCATTGTAATTGTGTTGCCGCATCAACCAACAAGACAATGCCTAACCATTGTAATTGTGTTGCTGCATCAACCAGCAAGACAATGCCTCACCATTGTAATTGTGTTGCTGCATCAACCAGCAAGACAATGCCCTCACCATTGTAATTGAGTTGCTGCATCAACCAACAAGACAATGCCTCACCATTGTAATTGTGTTGCTGCATCAACCAGCAAGACAATGCCTCACCATTGTAATTGTGTTGCTGCATCAACCAACAAGACAATGCCCTCACCATTGTAATTGTGTTGCTGCATCAACCAGCACGACAATGCCTCACCATTGTAATTGTGTTGCTGCATCAACCAACAATACAATGCCTCACCATTGTAATTTATGTTGCTGCATCAACCAACAAGACAATGCCTCACCATTGTAATTTATGTTGCTGCATCAACCAACAAGACAATGCCTCACCATTGTAATTTATGTTGCTGCATCAACCAACAATACAATGCCTCACCATTGTAATTTATGTTGCTGCATCAACCAACAATACAATGCCTCACCATTGTAATTTATGTTGCCACGTCAATCAACAAGACAATGCCTCACCATTGTAATTTATGTTGCTGCATCAACCAACAAGACAATGCCTCACCATTGTAATTTATGTTGCTGCATCAACCAACAAGACAATGCCTCACCATTGTAATTTATGTTGCTGCATCAACCAACAATACAATGCCTCACCATTGTAATTTATGTTGCTGCATCAACCAACAATACAATGCCTCACCATTGTAATTTATGATGCTGCATCAACCAACAATACAACGCCCCACCATTGTAATTTATGTTGCTGCATCTATCAACAATACAATGCCTCACCATTGTAATTTATGTTGCTGCATCAACCAACAATACAATGCCTCACCATTGTAATTTATGTTGCTGCATCAACGAACAATACAATATCTCACTATTGTAATTTGTGATGCAGCATCAACCAACAAGACCATGCCTCACCATTGTAATTTATGTTACTGCATCGACCAACAAGATAATGCCTCATCATTGAATTTGTGGTGCAGCATCAACCAACAATACAATGCCTCACCATTTGTAATTTATGTTGCTTCATCAACCAATAAGACAATGCCTCACCATTGTAATTTATGTTGCTGCATCAACCTACAATACAATGCCTCACCATTGTAATTCATGTTGCTGCATCAACCAACAATACAATGCCTCACCAATGTAATTTATGTTGCTGCATCAACCAACAAGACAATGCCTCACCATTGTAATTTATGTTGCTGCATCAACCAACACGACAATGACTCGCCATTGTAATTTATGTTGCTGCATCAACTAACACGACAATGCCTCGCCATTGTAATTTGTGTTGCTGCATCAACCAACAAGACAATGCCTCATCATTGTAATTTGTGTTGCTGCATTAACCAATAATACAATTCCTAACAATTGTAATTTATGTTGCTTCATCAACCAATAAGACAATGCCTCGCCATTGTAATTTGTGTTGCTGCATCAACCTACAAGAAATGACACACTATTGTAATTTATGTTGCTGCATCAACCAATAAGACAATGCCTAACCATTGTAGTTTATGTTGCTGCATCAACCAACACGACAATGCCTAACCATTGTAATTTATGTTGCTGCATCAACCAACAAGACAATGCCTAACCATTGTAATTTATGTTGCTGCATCAACCAACAAGACAATGCCTAACCATTGTAATTTATGTTGCTGCATCAACCAACAAGACAATGCCTAACCATTGTAATTTAAGTTGCTGCATCAACCAACAAGACAATGCCTAACCATTGTAATTTATGTTGCTGCATCAACCAATAAGACAATGCCTAACCATTATAGTTTATGTTGCTGCATCAACCAACACGACAATGACTCGCCATTGTAATTTGTGTTGCTGCATCAACCAACAAGACAATGCCTAACCATTGTAATTTAAGTTGCTGCATCAACCAACAAGACAATGCCTAACCATTGTAATTTATGTTGCTGCATCAACCAATAAGACAATGCCTAACCATTGTAGTTTATGTTGCTGCATCAACCAACACGACAATGACTCGCCATTGTAATTTGTGTTGCTGCATCAACCAACAAGACAATGCCTAACCATTGTAATTTATGTTGCTGCATCAACCAACAAGACAATGCCTAACCATTGTAATGTATGTTGTTGCATCAACCAACAAGACAATGCAATAAAGAATGCATGTTCTCAATTGTGAAATGGTTCTTTTTGACGTCATCCAAGTCGCTCAGGGTCGATTGGTTATCCATCTTGTCTCTGCTTCGGGGATATAGGCCCGTCCATTCAATAACTACATGTGACTCAATAGGTTCATTTCAATGCCGGAAGGA